TTATTTCAGTACAGTGGGGCAGAGGAGTTTCAGCTAATCTGGGAGGCTTTGTTCATGTTAGCACACGGTATCTACACTGTGGCTGGAATGGATACCACAGCATTTAAACAGGAATTTCTCATCTCCTGTGCAAGTGCTCCTGAAACGGTTTCTGGGTTCAGTCTGGACCTACAGACTGGCAGGTACACTGGTTTTTCTCCTTTTCTTTTTTGTATCTTTGGGAACTTGAAATTGAACATAAAGCTGGCAGGATCTGTGTTGTGGAAAAGTTGAAGCTTTTTCTCCCCTTCCTAATTGCTAAGAAGTAACCAGAGAGGCTATGGTTTCCTGTCCCATACCCTGAGCACTTGAAGGGTCTATAGCCCTGCCCAATACTATCCGGAGGGGATGCCCCTGGAAAGCAGGACTTGCTGTGCCAGATTCTGCCTAGCTGAGAGCCGCTGCCTCCAGCATTATCTGCCTCCGATCAGCACAAAGGCAGTAACACTTGAGGCATTAAAAGCATGGTGATATTGGCCTCCTCGCAGTACAAAATCTGAACCCAAATGCTTGAGAGTTTTTGAAGTTGCTGAGGTGTACAGGCCTGGAGGGCTTGCCTCCTCATGCTGGTGTGTAGAAGGAAGTTGGCTGACTTCCCCGTCTCTGCGCCTATTTATGCTTCCCGCCTTCTTTTTTTTAATTATATAGAAACTGGTTTTTGAAAGTTGGCATTTCTGTGCCTGTCCCTTTCCCGTGTTCTCCCTGGGAGATTGCTTTCCGTCTCAGTGATTTTTCCAGCCATTGGGCCTGCTGCTTCTCTGGACCACCCTAGCAGCCTTCAGCTGTGGGTGTCCTTCTCTGGTTTGGCTTCTTAACTCTGCTGCCAGGTACCCCTTCAGCAGCCAAAACAGCCCCTGTTCTTGCTTGTGCTCATTACCTAGAGCAACCCTGAAGACCAAGTGTGAACCTTTCCAGTTCTCTGCTTCCTGTAAGTGCTCTGAACATAGAACTCTGTAGGAGGAGACTTAGGGTAGAGAAACAAATCTGGTAACTGTTTTGAAGGCAGTATATTTCTTAGTGTCATCTAAACTCTAAAAGGAGTCTAAGGTAAGTCTTTTAATATGCTGCTCACCTTGCAATTCATACATTTTTTTGAGAGTATAGTATTTGATGTAAGCTCAATAGAGATTGTAAAATTGCTACCCAGTTTGAGTTTACATCTTTCTAAGAGATCATCTCCCTGACGCTTTTGAGAAAATTGTCAATCCCCAGCCTGACATGTAGGTTTTGCATGAAATTGTTCAGACAGAAAGTTAATCTAAATGAGTGCGTGAATTTACTCCGTTACCCTCATTTTTGTGTAACTAAAGGTCAGTTCCCTCTTCGCTGCATAGACGGGCCCTGCCCCAGGTACAGTGCACACTCTGGTGGCCCTCGAGATGAAGTAAGTTTCAGAGCTTCCTCGACCAGCTTTTCAACATTTGGAAAAATTGGCTCTCCAGAGTAGAATTTGGGTGTGTTAGGGATGGAGACCAAGCCAGTGTGAAGTATGTGCTGTTGTTGGAATGGTCTTGTTTCTATCTAGAGACTGGGTGGCAAGGCTGTATTCCACCTCCATCACAGACATGAAAGGGACTCTGACCCCAGTCTGGGTGTCCTTGAGGGTCTACTGTATTTTCATCAGAACTACACCCAGACATATCAGCTAATGGTATAAAATAAATTTTATTTTAACTGCCTTTTACATGGGCAGAATTTTAACCACATACAAATCAAGTTACCTTTCAGTCCCCTTTCTTTGCTTTAGTTTTGTTTTCAGTTCCATGATTGGCTATAAAAGTCCAGTTCTCATTGAGGATTCATTCCAGAAAGTTCTTTGCACTTGTAGTGCCAAGAACACTGGGAAATGTTTCTTCCACAATATATAGAGAGCTACGGTGTATACGAATACACAGCTTTTGGAGAGTTGTGTTTTACAGGCTGTTGTGCCTTGGGAAGATTTCTCTGTATCCTGGTAAGGAAGGGCCTGGATTTTTTCTCGTGGACGTTTTCTCCTGTGTTACCTTTTCTTGCTGGTGGGAAAGAAAGACAGGCAGGCGTCTCTTAACCATTGGTCAGTCACAACCCGTCCAGTTGTTCCGTTCAGGGGTTGCCTAAGACCATGGGAAACAGATATATTTACAATATGATTCAAAACAGTAGCAGTTCAGAAGTAGCAACAAAATAATTTTATGGTTGGAGGGGTCTATAAGAAGGTCAAGAACCGTTGCTCTTTAATTTTACAACAAACCTTAAGTTCTTGTTTCCTTCCATGTGTGCAAAGGTTGGTTTGCAGTAACTCTTCCTCATAGCCCTCATGGGTAGTAAAGCTCTCAGGAGGAGGGATTAAAAATGAGAGGAGAGTCAGAGTAGTTTGTCTAAGGTGGGATTGAGAAGGGACTATATACATGGGGAAGTGTAACAAAAGACATTGATGTTTTAAATACACATAAATGCCACCCATCAATAATAAATGGTGTGGCATTGGACAGATGTGCCAAATTGAGTTATTATTGCATATGATCAGTTAATGGAGGGAAAGCAAGCAGCATAGCCAGTGTTTTTACATTTTTAAGTGCAGTGAAAAACCTCTATACAAATTTGAATACTCACTTTGGGTCCTTGATGGCTGCTAAGTGGAAATATTTTAAGTTTGGAATCTGCAAAAAAAAATTTTTTTTCAATGAACTCTTGTATGTTTTTTGAAGTAAGAATTACGAGTTTGTTTTTCTGGAAAGGTAGATGATGTGAAATGGATTTCATGCTGTTCACGGCTGAGTGCTTGCTTGTTGAGAGCTTGTGTTGTAATTGACCCAAGGAATGATGTTGCATTGCAAAACTCAAGTCACGTGACACTGTTGCCCAGTTTTTTCTACACTGCAGTGATTACAAATCTAGATCCCTACTCTGTACATAAACTACCCAGGCCCTCTCCTAAATTCTTACTCAGGCTGTGGGACTGTCTCACTCATAGTTCTATTATAACTTTACCTCTTGGATTTTTGTTTGCTCGTTTTGGTTGAAGTTGACTTTCTGATAAAGAATATTTAGTAGGTACAGATGGATCCTAGAGAAGGCTAGTTTTCCGTGTGTCCTGCATAGCTGAGGATAAGTTGTGTGTGAGGTGTTTAAAATGAGTCCTGAGTTGCAGAATTAGAATTGCTGTCCCTAATGGGAAAAAGGAAAGAGACTTGGTTAAACGTAAAACTATTTCACCTTTTCCACTCTTGTTAATATTGAACCCTCGTTTTGGTAACTTATTTGCAATTGGATGTCTCTGCTTTCTTCCTCAACAAAAGAATTCCTTTCCACTCTTCCTAATGCGAACAAAATGTTCACAGTTCTTGCATGCAGTGCCAAGTTGGCTTAAACTTGAAGATTGTTAGACCGGGAAGACACATCACTGAGTTGTCAAATCTTCTGTTTTTGATAAGGATGGTGAGACCCCCATGAAAGGTATTACTGACTCTTAGTTTAGCCATCTGTATTGTTAACCTTTGGTGTTTTCTAACCTTCCTCCGGTGTTTTCAGGTGCAGAATTGAATTAATCTTTCACCTCCTAGCAATCCCAGCATGTCTTAAAAGGGGACTTGTCAAACAGACTTTAGAGCCACCAAATAAATCTATTTTATAGTCTCCTTGGATACCCACCCCAGACCCCCTCACAGTGGAAGGATGCATGGCTGGAATCAGCAGTTCCCCTGAAGTCCCCTCTCCCTCTCTGGTCACCTTCTCTGGGTTATTAAGAAGGTGTTGAAATGTGAGAAGGGCTAGTAGTGAAATCAAATTGTGGGTCTGGGTAATTAGGAGAGAAAGCCAAGGGTTTTCACAGCACATTGTCTGGCTTTCAGCTGCAGCTGCAAACAACGGATATGAACTTAACCAGTTGCTACAGTGCAGCTGGCTCAGATCTGGCTTTGTAACTGGCTGAAGTAAAATGAAATGGCTGGAAAATTCCAGTCAAGTTAACACCAGTGGGAACGTGTGGAATTAAATAGTGTGAGCAAATGCTGGCTGGGTCGGGGAAAATTTTCAGACACAAGCTTGAGGGTGGTAGTGAGGACTTGGGGGGCATTTCTGGCTTTTTTAACAAGGGTCCATTGTTTTGACAAGTTCTCTTTCAGGAGCAGGGAGGTTCTTGCCATCTGAGTGACTTACAGAGTGTGTGACTTGTTTGTCTGCCTTCTTGACTCAAGTCACCCAATCCTTTGTTTTTTGTTTTAAAAAATGGAAAGACAAAAACTTACTCCATCAGATGGTGCTGGGAAGTGTCCTCCTCTGGTACACACAACTCCTGCCCCTTCCTAGTTACTCTCTTCTCATCACATGTTGGCTGTAAAATGGGAGCAGATTCACTTGTTTCAGTTTTTTTAATAACTCTTATAATGAAAGGATCTACGGGGAGGGGGGGTTTAGCATTTTGTTGTTTTGTTTTTTTCTCCCTGAGCTGTTTGCTTCATTTCGAAGATTTGAGAGCTGACGGGGAAAGATAGAAATCGAAGGCCCCCGGTGCTGTTTGGGGTATGTTATCTCTGCCAGCGCTTGAAAGCTTATGCTTGCCTAATAATTCCCTGTCACAGGGATTAACCAGTGATACAAAACATTTGATTAAGAGACTTAAAGAAATCTCTTCAAGAGGCACATGACTGGAGTTGTTGCAGGAACCTCCCCCTCCCCCCCACCAAGGCCTGTTTCTATTAAGTTTATAGTGATGAGTCATGGGAAATGGAGATAACCTCATGAAGAATCTCTGTAGAGGCAAGACTCTGTTAGATATATCGCTAAGTCCGTCAGAGCTTCTGTATACCTTAAGAAGGAACTCCCACCCCGGCTGTGCCGTCAAGAAAACTAAGCATTAGCTTTTGCATTGCATTTAGAGCCTCTGCTCACACTTAGTAATAGGGAAAGCTCCCTGCTACTCTGGAGCATTACTACTCCGCTCCCCTCCAGTTGTATTAACCTGTACATCTTCCATCCCTCAGATCACTATTATCTTCAAAGCACATCATGAGTGTACAGATCAGAAAGTATACCAAGCTGTGACGGATGACCTGCCAGCTGCCTTTGTGGATGGCACCACCAGTGGGGGGGATGGTGATGTTAAGAGCCTTCACATCGTGGAGAGGGAGAGTGGCCGCTACGTCGAGATGCATGCCCGCTACATAGGTACCACAGTGTTTGTGCGACAGCTGGGTCGCTACCTAACCCTCGCCATTCGAATGCCTGAAGACTTGGCCATGTCCTACGAGGAAAGCCAGGACCTACAGCTGTGTGTGAATGGCTGCCCTCTGAGTGAATGCATCGATGATGGACAAGGCCAGGTGTCTGCTATCCTGGGGCACAGCCTGCCACATACCACCTCAGTGCAGGCCTGGCCTGGATACACACTGGAGACGGCCAGCACCCGATGCCATGAGAAGATGCCAGTGAAGGACATCTATTTCCAGTCTTGTGTCTTTGACCTACTCACCACCGGTGATGCCAACTTCACTGCTGCGGCCCACAGTGCCTTGGAGGACGTGGAGGCGCTGCACCCTAGGAAGGAGCACTGGCACATCTTCCCCAGCAGCCGCACAGGAGGCGGTGCCCGCACAGGAGGTAGCGATTTGTCTGTTGGTCTTGGACTCACATGCTTGATCCTTACTGTGTTTTTGTAGGGGTTGTTTTGTTTTTTTCTTTTTGTCTATAACAAAGTTTTAAATATATATTGTCATAATATATTGAGTGAAAGAGTATATATGTATATACCATGTATATGACAGACGTTTGTCCTGGAGCACCAGATTGTACATTTTATGTGTTTGACTGTTTTCACATATGTTGGTTGTAGTGTTTTTTTGATTGTACCAATTTTGTTTTTTGCGGTTTTGTGAAATGTTTTATAATGTCCCTGCCTAGGGACCTCTTAGAAAGCACTTTATTTTTTATATATTAAATATTTATGTGTGTACCTGGCTAATATGTACAGTGCATATACACAGACACCACGGCAATCCATTTGAAGGTGACCAGTCTGTAGCTACCCTGGGTGTTGATCCTGCACTTCCCATTGCTACTGATTTGCCAAGGTACACAGTTTGTAATGGAGCTGTCTTCTTCCCTTGTGTAAGTATCTACTTATTAAGTAAGTTGTTAGAAACAGAGCTCTTACTTTTCAGAACTTGGGGACAGACAGTGTTGCTACAGCTGCAGTTCTTGTTACTCTGTGACATTTGAGCATGTGTGGCCTGTGCGGTTGACTCTTCTGAACCTGCCATTTGCTAAGTACAAGTCTGGTGATGGTCATTTCAAGTTGATACCAGGCATCTCCCTACACCTGAGCTAGTCCCTATCCCCGTTTAAATTGTACTTTTCCTCTCCCTTAAGCAAAACAAAACCATCAACTTCGTAGAGTCCATGCCTTGCTGTCCCTCTCTGTGATTTTTAGAAATCACATTCTCCTTGGCTGCTTTGGAATCCTAACGGTGCTCTCTGGTTCTACCCCAACGTCTCCTTCACCTCACACCTCAGGATTCCAAACTCTGCCTGTTAGTCTTCCTGTGATACTGAGGTCCAGGTGTAGGGCCTTAAGAACAGAAAATCTGCCTTGGTGTGTATTAGTATACACTTACCTGTGGATGCTGTTGTCCCGATGTTCATAACTAGGCATTGCGCTGTCCAAGTACTCTGTCTTCTCAGCTCTCTGCCGTCTTCTCAGCTCTCTGCCATCTTAACACCTGTAGTTGAATATTAGGCAGTTAACTCTTGTCACTTAGTGAAATCCCCACAAAGTAAATAAAGTCTTTCCTTGCCTCTCCCATCATCCCATTGTTGGTACCAACTATAAAAGAGAATTAACAAAAAAGGCTGTGAGAGTAGCAGAGTTAACTCCTGGATAGATATAGGTTTGTATTGTTATATCTAAATGTGTTTGGTTCCAAGAAGTAATACAATTTGTGTTTCAATATTTAAGGTTTACATTAATGCAAGCAAAAGATACGACCTTAAAATACTGTAGTTATTTAGGCCAAGGCGTTGCCTTTGCCATGTCTTATTGGCCAGTAGCACTGACAGACTCGGGCTGGCAACAGAAAAGGGTGTCATCACAGGGTGGAATTGTGTGTTTTTCTAGAGGTGGCAAACCCTTTAGAGCTTGCAGAAAATTATGAAGGCATCCTTAAAGGCTGAACTCCAGAGAGCTGGAATCTAACCCTGTAAAAGAAGGTCCTTTTAAGAGAGCTGGACTAGGAAGGACCAACCAACCCTGAGCTCTGAAACATGGCCACTTCTGTTCATTTGTGGAGCCATGTGCCAAGTTCAGAAGCTTATCACTAGCTAATAACTTGTAATTAAGTAGAACAAGGAAGGGAAAATGTTGGATACTTTTAACCACTATTTTTGTGCAAATAGTATAAAGGTAAAGTAAAAACAATAGAAGTTTCTACAGTGTCTGGCTTTAGAGTATGTGATTGATACACCTTTATCCTTTCGGGGGGAGAACAAAACCACCACCACCTCTACTCATAGTCTGGGTAAGCAAGGTTGTTTAGCTGTAACGTTTAGTGGGCAAGGGTGCCCACGAGATGTACTACACATCGGTAGTATCAGTAATGTAGTGTGGTGGTGGGTTCTCCCTCACAATCAGTGTCCCTGTACGATCTTTACAGTCCCCGTGGATAACTTTTAGAAATAAAGTATTTCTGTAGAGAAGGGCCAGGTTTTTCCTTGGGGTTTCTAAGAACATATGCTTGCACTTTGTCCATGCCAGCATATGAGTAGGCAGTGGCTCTTCACAGGCCTCCTGGGAGAGCTTAAAACTTGGGCCGAGACACTGATTTCCACAGACCTACCTACATGTGGCTCTTTTAGCGAAGACTCAAAAAACACTTCCTGCCCACTTCACTGTGCTTGGAAACCCCCCCCCCCCACATTGTGCCGAGTCTTTACAGAGAAACCTGTAGATGTGATTCATAGGTATATGAGTAAGTGTCTGTGTAAAAACAGTGGGTATGCAGTATGTACATACTTTAAATTATTATGCTAGAAAAATAAAAGTTACAGACCATACTACCAAATGTTTGTTCCGTGATTATAGTGACACCTGCTGGAAGAGCCTAGGAACCTCCGCAGAAGGAAAAGAGTAAGGGTGTTTATAGTAAGATCCTCATAGTTTTTCACAAGATGGACTCCCTGCCCCCTAGCTCATTTGACTGCTACTGTAGTTTTTCCCTTTATTACAAATAAAAGTAGTGTCTGTGAGACTGGCTGCTGGTCCTAAAGTCCTGTCTCTAATGAGTAGCTTTGTCCCTTGAGCACACTTCACAACTGGATCCTCTGAAGATGGTACTGGGATGCAGCAATTTGCAGTGATGGAAAGATGTGGGAGGTAGGGTGGTGTTTTGTCTTGGAAAACTTGCAAAGGCTCAGGGAAGTAGCTTCCTAAATGGAGAAAGCCTGGGTTGCAGGGGGGCTCACATAATTACTGAATAGAGCGCTTTCTGTGTGTGTAGAGAATATGAAGGGAAATCTTAAATCAGCTGCATCATGTAAGCTACAGAAACCAGGGATATGGTCCCTGGGTGCTGAGTAGATGTCATCTATGTAATAAATACCTTCCACAAAAGTTCCCATCTATCCTCCAACTTCTCAGAAACCAAAACTAGAGATTTTGTTTGTGTACTGGCAGTTCTGGAACTCACTTTGTAGACCAGGCGGGCCTCAGACTCGCTGAAACCCACTGCCTCTGGGATTAAAGGTTTGTCTGTCTGTCTAGAGAGATTTCCTTTTCAAAACCCAAGATTCCTGTTAGTTGCCTGAATTATTTCATTTTTTAAAAAATGTTTATTGATGCTATTTTATTGCCTAGAGTAAGGCAAGGGTAAGACCATCTTGGATGCCTAAAACCTTACCCTGAGTTCCTGTAGCGACATGTCCATTTCTGTGAGAATCAAGCAAAACCTCTCCACCCCCAAAAAGGTAAACAAAAGGAAGAAGTTCAAAATTCTATTTGTACTTCTGTTTTCTGTGTGTCTTCTAAAGGGAAATCAATTCAATAGTGTTGTTGTTTTTTTTTTTTTTTTTTTTAAACTCACCGTTCTTTCCCTACCCCCACTCCTAACCCCTGCCCAGAGGACTTCTAGTAAGATGTTTCAAACTCTCACCTAAATAATACAGTGAATGCCCTCCCGTCTTTGAATGTCACCGTGTTTGTGTCTCCTCTCTTGTGAATGGCTTGCAGATTGACAGAGACTGGCAGCTAGGGCCAGAGGGACACAGTCATATCTCAGCATTTTCATTAGAATGATGTCAAGTCAACTGAGCAAACTTACTCTGTTAACCAGGACATGTTAACATGGCTCTGCTCTATCAAACTACCATCAGACAAAAACAGGCCAGTATTTCCTAATTGAAGGCTCTTTTCTTTATGGCTGTAAGACTAACCCTTTCATGCCTGAGCCATCTCCCCAACCCCTAACATTTTTTTTTTTTTAATACATACATCTATGGTTCATTTAAAAAAAAAAAAAAAAATGAAAACTCCACTCCTAAATTTTCAAAAAAGTATTCTGTAACCAGATCAAGTAGTTAAGACTAAATGAATTGGCAAAGTAAAAAATGCATCTGCCATAAATAGTCTTTACAATTAGGGCTATTTCAAGGTCTGAGAAGATAGTAAATGTGTGCCACACAATCATGGGGACCTGAGTTCAGGTCCAGATGCAGTGGCATATACCGACGACTACAGTTCCAGGGAAGTGAGACCTGGAGGGTCTCTGAACTGGCCAGCTGAGCTCCACGTGAAAGATGCTGTCTTAAAAATTAAGATAATGAGCCACCGAGGACACCTAGTGTTACCTCTAGCCATTGCACGCATGTACACACATATACAGGACACTGCATACTCCACACACCAAGAAGAAACTGATGCTCCTACTAAGAATGACCACCCTAGGTTCATACATTCGGATGCTTGGTCCACTGTTGATGGAACTACTTAGGATTAGGAGTATGTCACTGGGGGTGGGCTTTGAGGTTTTTAAAAGCACGGGCCATTCCCATTCTCTTGCTCTTTGCTTCTTGCTTATGGGTCAGATGTCTGCCTGTCTGTTGCATACTCCCTGCTATGATGGTCCTGGGCTCAACCCTCTGGAACTGTAAGCAAGCCCCCAATAAACTCTTCTATTGGTTGCCTTTGTCACGGTGTCGCAAATGGTGCTGTTAACATAGTATTGTCACTGTGCTGGCCGGTTTTGTGTGCCAACTTGACACAAGCTAGAGTCATCCGAGAAGGGGCCACATTTGTGGAAATGCTTCCATGAGGTGCAGCCGTTAAGGCATTTTCTCGGTGATCAATTGGAGAGGGCCCAGCCTATTGTGGGTGTTACATGCTGCCCACAGAATGGGAAAAAGATCTTCGCCAACCTCACATCTGACAGAGCTGATCTTCAAATTGTGGGTGTTACATGCTGCCCACAGAATGGGAAAAAGATCTTCACCAACCTCACATCTGACAGAGCTGATCTTCAAAACATACAATGAACTCAAAAAAGCTGGTCACCAAAACACCAAATAATTCAATTTAAAAATGGGGTACAGATCTCAATAGAGAATTCTCAATAGCGGAATCTCAAATGGCCGAAAGGCACTTAAAGTGCTCAACATCCTTAGCCATTAGCAAATCAAAACAACTCAGATACCATCTTGCTCATGTCAGAATGTCTAAAATCAGAAACACCAAAGACAGTTTATTCTGGAGAGGATGTGGAGGAAGGGCAACTCTCCTCCAATGCTGGTGGGAGTACAAACTTGTACAAACACTTTGGAAATCAGTATGGCAGTTGATCAGGAAAATGGGAATCAGTCTCCCTCAAGACCCAGCAATTCCACTCTTTGGCATATATCCAAAAGATGTACATCTGTTCAACTATATTCATAGCAGCATTATTTGTAATAGCCAGAACCTGGAAGCATCCTAGATGCCCATCAAGCAAAGAATGGATAAAGAAAATGTGGTACTACTATTCATTTGGGTAAAAAAGACACCTTGAAATTCACAAGCAAATGGATGGAACTAGAAGAACCATCCTGAGTGAGGTAACCCAGACACAGAAAGAAAAACATGGATATTAGACATAGAGCAAAGGATTACCAGCCTATAATCCACAACCCCAGAGAAGCTGGGAAGCAAGGAGGACCCTAAGAGAGAGATACATGGATCTCCCCCGCAGAAGGGGAAAGGGACAAGATCTCCCGAGTAAATTGGGAGCATGGAAGGGGGGGAGGAAGGTGGGAGAGAGGAGCAGGCAGGGGGAAGAGACCATGAGGGATCAGGAAAGTCGAGTTGGAGGAAGAGGAGAGAAGGAGAGTATGGAAAAAGCTACCTTAATAGAGGGAGCTTAATAGAGAAATCCGGCACTAGGGAAGTTTCCAGGAATCCAAAGGACGACCCCAGCTAACAATATGAGCAACAGTAGAGAGGCTACCTTGAATATCCTTCCCCTACAATGAGATTAAGGACTACTTTATGTGCCATCCTAGAGCCTTCATCCAGAAAGCAGAGATTCACAGCTAAGCACTCAGCCGATCTCCTGGAATCCAGTTGTAGAGAGGATGGAGTGATGAAGGGGTCAAGACCATGCTGGGGAAACCCCCAGAAACAAGCTGACCTGAACAAGGGGGAGCTCATGGACTCGTCTGACGCTGGGGAACCAGCATAGACCAAACCAGGTCCCATGAGCGTGGTTCTCAGAAGGCCTGGGCAGTCTATGGGGCCTCTGGCAGTGGAACCAGTATTTATCCCTAGTTTACTAATGGGCTTTGGGAGCCCATTCCCTATGGAGGGTTACTCTCTCAGCCTAGATGGAGGGGCGGGAGAGGGGGATCCTTCCCCAAATGATGTGACAGGCTTTGCTGATGCTCCATGGGAGGCCTCACCCTCCCTGAGGAGTGGATGGAGGGGTGAGATGGGGAGTTGGTGGGGGGAGCAGGAGGACAGGAGGGAGAGGGAACTGGAATTGGTATGTAAAATAAGACTTTTTAATTTAAATAAAAATGAGGGAGGGAGGGAGGAAGAAAGGAAGGAAGCAGACCGCACAAGCCCGGGGAAGAAAGTCAATAAGCAGTTTCTCCTCCCTGGCCTCCTCATCAGCTCCAGTTTCCAGGTTCCAGGTCTGACTCCCTCCAGTGATGAACTATGATCTGGAAGTGTAAGTCAAATAATACACCAAGCGAGTTGGGGAGGGAAATGTTTGTCTTAGCAATGGGAACCCTAATTAAGACAGTTATCAATATCACGAAGACGGGAAGGGAACTTGCATTGCTCTAAGAGAAAGACAGACCAAGCCTGTGTCTCATGCATATTTCTTTCTTGGAGGGGTGTGGGGGGAGAACACTAAAATAAGTTGGTTCAATACAAATATAACTTCATTAGCTCCTATCAAATCGGGCATTTGGATGACATTTGGAGTTCAGGAAAGAGGTCAAAGATGACCTGGGAAGATGGAAGAGCAACAACAGATTTTAAAAAGCTTTCAGATCGAAATTGCAGATAGGGATGCTGTCTTTTTGCCTTGCCCTGCAGGGCCATTAAATGGTCCCCCCTTTATATAGTCTACTAAGGAGGCAGCATGCCATCATGGACAAGATTATGGTCTGTGGAACTGCCAAGTGTTAAGTTTCAATCTACTTATTGTGCCTCCTTATGCATCCTAAACCCATGTCTAGACTTCCATTTCCTCACTTTTAAAATAAGAATCCTAACATCACACCTCAAACATCCCCTGTGAAGAGTAAATTTACTACTTTATCTGAATTTCTTAATGCTGAATTTCTTAGAGGCTGTTGCCGTGCCTAAGAAGAACCATTTGTTTGCTCACCTTAGAAGAACTACATTTCTAGTTTTAGGTCCCCATGAAGATTCAAGAATTTAGGACTGGGCCAGAGTCCTGAAGAAAGTTTGAACATCCAGGAAGGAAACAAACTTGGGTCACAGCTTCCAGGAAAGCATCAATTCAAACAGCAGGCACACCAAGAACCTCCTGCCCCTTCCTCGCTGCAAATCCTCCCAC